AGAAAAAGAGGGAGGGGGAGAAGAAAGAAACAGAGGGAGGGAGGGGGAGAAAGAAACAGGGGGGGAGAGAGGGGGAGAAATAAACAGGGAGGGAGGGGGAGAAAGAAACAGCGAGGGAGGGAGGGGGAGAAAGAAAATAGAGGGAGGGAGGGGGGAGAAGGGAGGAGGGGAGAAGGAAACAGAGGGAGGGGGAAGAAAGAAACAGGGAGGGAGGGAGGGGAAAGAAAGAGGGAGTGAGGGGGAGAAGGAAACAGGGAGGGAGGGGGAGAAGGAAACAGGGAAGGAGGGAGGGGGGAGAAGGAAACGGAGGGAGGGGGAAAAAGAGGGAGGGAGGGGGGAGAAGGAAACAGGGAGGGGGAGAAGGAAACAGGGAAGGAGGGGGAAGAAAGAAACAGGGAGGGGGAAGAAAGAAACAGGGAGGGGAGGGGAGGGGGGAGGAAAGAAACTGACAGGGGAGGGGGGAGAAAGAAACTAACAGGGAGGTGGGGGGGGAAAGAAACTAACGGGGGGAGACATTGACAGGGAGGGGAATTGACGGGGATAGAGAAATTGACAGGGAGGGGGGAGTGACAGGGGAGGGAGGGGGAATGAGAGTAACAAGGGAGGGGGGGAGAAGAGAGTGACAAGGGAGGGGGGAGAGATTGACATCCATCACACAATCACACACAATGCACCCCTTACACACAAAGACAATGAACCCCTTGCACACAGAAAAACACACAATGCATTACACACACAATGCATTACACACACAATGCATTACACACACACACGCAATGCAACCCTTACACACAATGCATCCCTTGCACACAAAGAAACACACAATGCATTCCTTACACACACTCAATGCACCCCTTACAGACTCACACACTTCATCCCTTACATACACAGAAACACACCTTGCAGCCCTTACACATACAAACACAGATTCACAAAATGCATTCCTTACACACAAATCAGGACATTCCCTACACACTCCATCCCCTGTGAACAAACTCATTGGTGGAAAATGAAGGTGGACCCTGGGACCCAGACCTTGAGCTGTGTAAAGGGCCCCCAAAAAATGGAGCTGCTTCTCGCTCTCCCAGAACATTGATTTGTGTGACCACAGTTACAAACAGCCTCCAGAGATCCTGTTATACACCAGACCAGTGGAGCCAGACTGCAGCTAGAGCCCATCATCATCCTCATCTGCTTGTAAGTAGGTAATCTAGTATATTATTCGTGGCACTAATCTCTAATTTACCTCACATTAAAGAAACACTATAGTCCCCAGAACCACTGCACCTTAATGTAGTGGTCCTGGTGTCTATAGCCTGTCCCTGCAGGCCTTTTAATGTAAACACAGCGGCACTGCAGCACTAGCGTTAGTTAACATGGCAGGTCATATGGGTGGGGCATTGCGATGTCACGGGGGGGAGGAGGGGGGCGTCAAACTTTACTTTTGCCTAGGGCGGCAAAAATCCTTGCACCGGCCCTGATTGTCCCTAATACCCTGGAGAAAAGGTTCTAGGACCAGAATAAATAGGAGGGGCGACAGAGGACAACCCTGCCTCGTGCCATTTGAAATGGTGACCGGGGCGGATAATTGTCCATTTATTCTCAGTCTCGCTGATGGTTTTGAGTATATCGCTTCCAACCACTCCAACCACCTAGTTCCAAATTTTAAGAAGCGCATTGTAAGTTTTAGGAGTGACCAATTGACCCTATCAAATGCCTTTTCAGCATCGATCGCCAATAACGTGCTTTGGGTCTTGTGTGTCTGGGCCCACTGAATGAGATTGATGACCTTGGTAGTGTTATTCTTGGCTTCCCTACCTATGACAAATCCTGCCTGGTCTTGATGAATAAGACTCGGAATGAATGGCTTCAGTCTAGTGGCCATTATCTTGGTAAGGATCTTTAAATCGATGTTTATTAGAGAGATAGGTCTAAAGTTCCCACATACAGTAGTGTCTTTTCCTGGTTTCGGGATCAATGTAATCGTAGCTTCTAGGGCTGAGGACGGGATGTGAGAAGAGATATTACTGACATTATAAGCGTCTATGAACGGTTGGGCTAGGATGTGTGATAGTTCTTTATAGTATTTCCCGGTGTATCCATCTGGGCCGGGGCTTTTCCCCAGAGGCAGTGATTTGACTGTGTTGTGGAATTCTTCAAGTGTTATTGGGCTGTCAAGAAATGCTGATTCGTTAGGGGGAATAGTGTGTTTAACCCTTGGCTCTAGAAATTCTAAGATAGCTTCAGCCGAAGGTTTAGAGTTCGTCAGATTATATAATTGTGAATAAAATTTATGGAAAGCCTCAAGTATGTCTGGCATGTGGCACGTTAGCGTTCCATCCTCTTTCTTGATTTCGGAAATGAAAGACGATTGTCTTTCCTGCTGTATGGACTTCGCCAGGAATCTACCAGCTTTGCCCCCTTGCGAGTAATAAGTATTTTTTGTCAGGGATATTTTGCGCTTGGCGTGTAAGTGTAAAATGGATGTCAGCTCTGTTCTCATATGTGAGATGCGTTTGTAATCATCTAAGGATGGTTTGGTGCTTACTTTCCATATCTTTAATGTCTTTAGTGAGTTGAGATATTGTCTGTTCCCTAGTCTTTTTCAGGGCTGCGGCTGCTTTAATTAGTTCTCCCCTGAGTACCGCTTTGTGGGCCTCCCATGTCATAATAGGCGTTGTGTCTAGGTTGGAGTTTTCTTTGAAATAGTTAGACGCTGTCTCCCTTAATTTGGCCAGGGTTCCTCTATCGTTGAGTAGCAAGTCGTTTAATTTCCACTGAGTAAATTGAGTGGGTAGGGTCGGAATTGAGAGAGTCAAAGTCAGTGGTGCATGGTCTGACCAAGTGATCGGGCCATAGCTTGCTGAGTGTAGTAAGGGTAAAAACCTGTGTTGTATTAGGAAAGTGTCTATGCGTGAATAAGTACCAGAGGCTGTGGAATAAAAGGAATAGTCTTTTTTTGTGGGATGAATAGCCCTCCAACTGTCATAGAGCCTTGCTTCATATAGTGTGTTTTTGATAAGTGTCCGTGTTTGTGTTTGGTAGTTTTGAGATAAAGAGGTAGTGTCTAAATGTCCATCAAGGGCAGTGTTGAGATCGCCCCCCATAATGAGAATCCCTTCTTGGAAGGAGGATAGTTTTTGTAAAATCTTTATAAGGGCATGGTTCTGTTTCTTGTTTGGAAGATAGACATTTGCTAAGGTGATAAAATAACATTTAAACCAGTTCATTAGTCATTGCCTGGAACCATCCAATAAGAGAATCTACCATGTTATATAAGCAGAGTTTGTTTTTAATTTGCCTAAACAGATCTTTTATCTTATTTTAGAGCAAATCAATACAGCTGGATAAATATCACGATATGCTAACATGTGATAATATCACATTAATATATAATTATTCTTAATTCCACCTGCAGAATTGAATGTTTATAACTATATATTCTTTAGTTAACTAAAATTTCTAAATATGGAAATCTGACCATGATTTATCCAGTCATATACATGCTATTAGTACATTTTAATTAATTTAATTAATTAAATGAAACCAGTATAATTACCAGTTGAGTAGATATTTCATCCGATTGGTAGATAGTCTCAGGAACTTATTTGGATGTCTGTAGGTGCATGAGTTATGGTGAAAGGTGGTGTTGGTTAGAAAGTCAGTAAAATTCTAAGTGTTAGAGTTTTAGTCTCAGATGTTGTCCTGGGTTTCTCTGCATGTCCGAGTTGGAGTCCCCAAACTTCCAATTCCTCTCCTCCTCTCCTCCTCTCTTCCCTCTGTCTTAACTTTTTAAAGGGCCAGACTCT